TGTAGTATGTCATATAGGGATATATATTCATACTTTTTCACGAGTTCCTCATCTTTCTGACTGTGTAAATGTCGTGCATTGAATTTAACAGAAATGTAACGAGAGACGTTATTATCTTTGACCCATCAAAATGAATGCGGTCATTTATTTTCAGAATCAAAGTTTAACATCAAACATTTACATTAATTTGGCAAAATATGAAAATAATAACAGACAAGTTTCACAGATAATGGACTTCAATCACACGGCGGTGATCGAGGACTTTGCTTCAGATATTTCTAAAATATCTGTACTGATTTTAAGAGAAAGCAGAGTTTAAGATGGAAATGGAGATTTATCTTACAGAGAGATTTGTGAGGGAATTAATCTGTTTGACCAGAAACGTGCACGCTCCATCAGATCTCAGCTTGCGACGGTACGCTTGGTCAAAGTAGAATCGTTACCTGGTTGATGATATATTAGCGTCGGTATAGGATACTTCCTTGACTCTTTCAGCGTCTCCGTTGAGAGCAGCCGAAATCCTTCGAGAGTCGTGCGAGGTTATTCAAACAGAAGTTATAATCCCAAAACGTCTCTGGATCATCCTGAATGCGTTTGCATCCAAGAACTCTGAACTCCTTTCATCTCATCAGACTCTCTCAGCGTCTTTAACTCCATCACTCTTCAGCACTCTTCAGCATCAGTCTCTTTAGCTCCATTAATCTTCAGCGTCTGGCTTCAGACTTCAGACTCTGTGCACTCTCTCACTCTTCAGCGTCTGGCTTCAGACTTCAGACTACTTCCATGAGTTAGAGCTCTGCAGCATCAGACCCTTTGCACTGAGTATAGAACCGGGAAGTTGCCACATTTTAAATGAGTTGACTTCCGGGTCAATTTAGAGCTTTCTGATTCGTGGATGGGCCAGAATAGAGGTGTGGTTTGTGATGTAAGATGTTATCAAATTCGAGGTCAGAGAATGAGATTGTTCAACAACAGACAGAGAGATTATTGCAGAAAACCAGACTTCGTGGAGTCAAACTCTGCTGTATCTTCTCAAATAGTTAAACATGACATTTCTTCTCAGTAAACATTTTAGTTGACCGAGACGCGACTTTTAACATACTTACAAATTTGCTCATTGAAGACAGAAAAATCAAGAAATGCATATTAACCTGATTTCTTCTTTGAATGAGGAATAAAAATCATTACTTACTGTTTATGTAAAATAAAAATGAGTAGTTCTCTTAGTGAACTAACACAATTTGATTATCAAACATTTGTAAAATAGTAATGATCATAGAGAATTGTCTTTTCTACTTGATTGATTCAAGAAAGAAAGTCACCAGATGGCTCAAACTGTATTTCTGGATGCAGATCAATGAAATAACAGTCTCTGTTCATCTGATCAGATTTGAGGTCAGATCAGGTTCACTACACATGTCAAAGTGTCCCTGGGCAAGACACTTATCCCCTCATTGCTTCTGATGTGTGTCCCATCAGTGTATGAATGTGATAAAGCTCTGATTAGTCTCTTTAGAATGAGTTGTTCAATTATCTTTGTAGAGATCTAGTAGAGTGCTGTGTGAATGGGTAAATGAGGCACAGATTGTAGTGTAAAGTACCTAGAGTATCTTGATAAGATAGAAAGGTCCATTTAACTATATTTGTTTCATTTTTTATCATAATGTTGGTATTTATGAACGGATCGGTGCAGTGTTATGAACTATGTACCGGTCTGTTGTGATGAAGAGGGAGCTGAGCTTCAAGAAGAAGCTCTCTGTTCACCAACCATAAAACACAGAAAGAGAATAATGTTTATCCAAGTATTACTCACCCAACAGTGATGTCGAAGATGTTACTGCCCAACACTACATTGGGCAGTAGATTATTATAAGTTACTTACAAATTACTTATAAGCTACTTATTAACTGCAAGTTATTTACAACAGGAAGAGGAGTCCTGTGAAGGTATGAAGAGTGGACCCACCTGATGAGCCCACCACACCATCAGGTAGGAGAAGATGCCGATCCAAATGATTGAGCCGATGAATGTGATGAAAAATAATTTCTTGGATGCCTTGGGAGGGGGGAAACACACATATCTTTAACATGACATGTTCACAAACAGTGACGGTGATGAGTGTTTCTGCTCACTGGATTGCGGACGTCTGGCAGTGAGAGCCACAGAGGGAACACGATGGGCAGCAGGAACAGATAGGTGGCCTGCTTGCGAGTGGTTTTAGGCCATTCTAAAGACAGTGGCTCATTCTCCTCTTCCTCTTTTTCATTTTTCTTTTCATCATCGTCCTCATCGTTATCCTCGCTTTCGCTGGAGTCACTGCTTTCATCGTCGCTACTTTCTTCCCCGACATCCCGTGAGCTATCGGACTGCCCCGCTGATCCTGCTACAACCTGTGCACAGGTGCAGAAGGGTTTAGACTTCCCTCATTTTCCTTATACTTTGCACCAAAGCAGCAAGACTTTAGGAGGACGTTCAAAGATTTTACTTTAGATATAGCTGCTTAACACCTGTTCATTTGAGTTAATTTATATTAAGCCAAGTCACAATAGAAGTCATCTCAGGGCATTGTACAAAAACATTTATATACATTATGAAAGCCAATTAGTAAAAGTTATCTATCTAAGGAAGGAAGTGACAGATAGCTTCAGGGTGGAGGTGGGATCAGCTCTCAGCCCCTTCTTGTTTGCTCTGGTGATGGACCGACAAACAGATGAGGTCAAGCAGGAATCCCCGTGGACAATGATGTTTGCAGATGACATTGTGTTCTGTGGAGAGAACAGGGAACAGGTGGAAGAGAACTTGGAGAGGTGGAGGTATGCACTTGAAAGAAGAGGAATGAAAGTCAGCCGTAGTAAGACAGAGTGTGAATGAGAGGGAGGAGGTGGAACAGTGAGGCTTCAAGGAGCAGAGGTCACAAAGGTGCAGGACTTGAAGTACTTGGGGTCCACTGTCCAGGAAAATGGGGAGTGTGGTAAAGATGTGAAGAAGAGAGTCCAGGCAGGATGGAGTGGATGGAGAAAAGTTTCAGGAGTGATTTGTGACCAAAGAATGTCAGCAAAAATCAAAGGAAAAGTTTACAAGACAGCGGTGAGACCAGCTATGTGGTATGGTCTGGAGACAGAGACATGGACAAAAAGACAGGAGACAGAGACATGGACAAAAAGACAGAAGACAAAACTGGAAGTGGCAGAAACGAAGATGTTGAGGTTCTCCTTAGGAGTGTCAAGGCTGGATAAGATTAGGAATAAGATCATCAGAGGTACAGAACAGGTTGAACAACTGAGAGATAAAGTTAGAGGCCAGACTGAGATGGTTTGAACATGTCCAGAGGAGGGACAGTGGTTTGGACATGTCCAGAGGAGGGACAGTGGGTATATTGGTAGAAGGATGTTAGAAATGCAGCTGCCAGGAAAAAGACAAAAAGGAGATATATGGATGCATTTAGAGAGGACATGGAGGTAGTTGGCGTGAGGACAGAGGATGCAGAGGACAGAGTGAGATGGAGGAGGATGACTCGTTGTGGAGACACCTGAAGAGGGAAAAGCTGAAAGAAAAAGATCTAGGGAAGCCATCAGATTGTGCTGGATCTTCACACTGTCACAGTCTCCCATCCTGAGCAAGCACAAAAGCAACAAGGAAGGAAAAGACAAGGAAAATTCCTGTTTAAGGGGAAGAAACCTCCAGCAGAACCAGGCTCAGGACAAGCTGCCATCTGCTTCAACCAGCTGGGTTTGAGAGGAACAGGAAGGAGAAACAACCATAGAATGACAGGTCCACCATTTGTCAGTCTAATTATTTTACCTGATCATTTTCAGAAGAATAAGCACCAAAGATGACACAGTTTGACAAAGAGTAAAACATTATTCAGGACCAACAAGACAGGTCCCGAAGAGCTATCATTGAAAACTTGATGTATAATTTCCTTTAATTTTATATGAACTGCACATTTAAAATAATCTACATTAAATGATTAGGTTATTCTTTCTCTGCAAAAACTACAGGAAAATATATTTTTCCCGTGGTTTTTCCACACATAGAAAATGTTATTTTGTAGCCTGTACAGCTGTAAACATCCCAAAACCTGCAGGTTGTTCTTTTTGTGGAAAAACTACGAGGTACACATAATTTTCCAGTAACTTATTTTTCCTGATAAATTTTCCACATAAAGAATTTACACATTTTAGGTTGTTTTTGAAATTAAATATTTTTGGAATCCAGTAACGTTAATGTAAGCGTATGTGTTTTATTATAGGGATTATGAGTTTCTGTGCCAAGTTAGAAATTAGAATTTTTCAAATAACTCAGTTAACCTGGTTAAGGCTCAGATGTCCCAGCTTTATATCAGCCTTGAAAGCAGCTTCCTGACCCTGGAGCAGTAAGAAAGTCTCAAAACTCACGTTCACAGGCAACTGATCCGTGCACAGCAGGTGATTTGTGCACGTGTATTAGACAATTTATATGCACAGAGTTCTCCTAATTGAGCAAATTGAAATGTGTACATAAAAAAAAAAAAAACTGTTTATACATTTCTAAAACTTGTACGCTTGTGGCTCTTATTGTACACACGTGTGAATACTTTGACACTGATTTATCTCCATATTTGAGTATCCTGGTTGGCTAGATAGATGCTGTTTATTTACTAATTATTATAAAGTACTATATTTAGTAGGTAAACTGTAGCTAAAAACCATATTGTCAAGGAAAAAGAGCTCAGATCCAGTAAAGACCTGACAGGACCTGCGCATCATCTTTCAGCTGAATGTCTGTAGTTCAGTGAAGCATCATCATCATCAGTGGAAAAAGGGTTGATTTTATCCGAAAAGAACATTGGCAGAAAAGTTTAAAGTCTAATAAACTGACCTGAACTGAAGCCCTGTAGCAGCAGGTCAGTCCAAAATCAAACACTGATTAAAAAGGCTGCATATGAATATCATCACATAAAACCAGCAGCGTCTCTGGAAAATGATATTCACATTTTTCAGACTGGGAAAACTCAGAGAATTTGAGAAAAACCTCAAAAATCAGGGAAAACTCTGAGTTTAAACACTGACCTGCTGATTAAAAAAGATTTTTCAGAGATTTTGACATGTAGGTGTATTAATGCCAGTGTTCTGGTATCACTGAGTCCATGTTCTGCTTGTACAGACAACACAGTGCTTTGGTTCCTTACTGACTGTGGTGGCTTTTATGTTCTGATGTTAAGCAATATGATGAATTAATAGAAAATGGTTGCTGTGTGCACGTATCTTTGGCCTCTGCCTCAAAGGCTAAGTTCTGTGTTTCATGTGACTGAAATGTCTCCTGGAATTTCAGGATTTCTTCAGTGAGAACTCAGAGAATTGTGTTTTCACGAAATGCTGAGCCCTGAACAGCTGTCCTTGTCACTCTTAGAGAAGTGAACTCTAGAGGTTTTCAGGAGAAGTCTCACCTTGGACCCGTCTGGTTTCTCCTGATGTGTAGGAGGCTGAGAGGTGGACGGCTCAGCAGCAGCACCTCCTGCTGTTCCAGAAGCTGCCGGCTGCTCGTTCTTTGCTTTCTGACCGTCTGAAAGAGAGAACGACAAAATGACAAAAACATATCGACCCACTGCTGAGACACAGCACTGATTTATACTTATTTCATTTTAGATAAACAAACTACAGATTTGTTAACGAATCATTAGCCTTCATGCAGACAGAAGGTGTCACAAAACACGACCAGACTAAAATTTCATCCATCCATCCATCCATCCATCCATCCATCCATCTTCTTTACCCGTTTATTCCATTTTGGGTCACGGGGGTCGCTGGTGCCCATGTCCAGCAATCACTGTGCGAGGGGCGGGGTACACCGTGGACGGGTCGCAAGTCCATCACAAGGCCACATAGAGACAAACAACTATTCACTCTCTCACTCACACCTAGGGACAATTTAGAGTTACCAATCAGCCTAACATGCATGTTTTTGGACTGTGGGAGGAAACCGGAGTACCCGGAGAAAACCTACGTATGCACGGAGAGAACATGCAAACTCCACCCAGAAAGGCCCCTGGGCCGGGGTTTGAACCAAGGACCTGCTCGCTGAGAGGCAGCAGCTCTACCAGTTGTGCCACCGTGCTGCCCAGACTAAAATTTATAATTGTTTTTCTTTTTGCGCTGCATTGTTTATTTTTGCAACCTTTTCTTAAATCTCAACTTTCTGCTTCTTTCTTGTTTCGTGACTCCTCCCTCTTGAAAAAGGTGTTTCTGTTACCTCTTTGTTTCTCTTTAAGAACAAAAGTAAGAAGCAAAAACAACACTGACAGTCATTTGTTGCGCAGCCGGAGAAATATTTGAGTTTTATTGTTTTTATTGTAAAAAGGCCAGGGTGGGTGATAATGTTTTTGCCCTTTTCTCTGTGTGTGGGTTTTCCGTCAAGTTAGCAAAATATCTCAGAACAGATTGCACCAGGTCTTTATTTACAAGTAACTATTTAGTGTCAACTCTTTGTGTCTGTTAATAAAATAGCTCATGAACCACTGGACAGATTTAGTTTTAACTTTTAGCAAATACTCATCGGATGTGCATTTACAACAGATTAACTTTTTTAAGGGTAACACTTTACAATAAGGTACGCAAAATTTGATTAACTACTAGGGAACACGTCAGGAACTAACCAGGAACAAATCAGGAGCTAATGGGTAGTTAACCAGTACTTACTGGGGAACGCACAGCCAAGCCTTTATTAGAGGGAAACTGGTTAGTTACCTTGTAAATGAAGAGGAACGAATCAGGAGCTAATGGGTAATAAAATCAATAATCAATAGGAAAGAGTTTTTTTGACAATTACAAACTGTGACCTCACTGGTGCAGGGTTTATTCAGAACCCACATGGAGAATTTCACCTCAGTTTCTGTGGTAACAAACCAATACTCCCCTAATAAGGCTTAACTGTGTGTTTCCCAGTATGTTCTGGTTAACTACCCATTAGCTCTTGATTAGTTCCTCTTTGTTTTCTTGGTAACTAACTACCCATTAGTTCTTTGTTAGTTCATCTTCATTTACAAGGTAACTAACCAGTAGTCCCCTAATAAGGCTTAGCTGTGTGTTCCCCAGTAAGTAATGGTTAACTACTAATTAGGTCCTGATTTGTTCCTTAGGTGTTCCCTAGTAGTTAAGCAAATTTTGTGTACCTTATTGTAAAGTGTTACCACTTTCGGATCCACTTCAATGTGGTGGTCACAACCACCTGATCTTAGAAAACAAATATGATGTAATATAATTGTTTTTAGACATGTGGTAAACTGAGTTGTTCGGCTGAGGGATTTAGTCACAACACATTTCACACCGGGCATGATCTTTACCTAAGACAGTACAGCATGTACTGTTTTAAGTACTGTGTATTAGGTACAACATGTACCTAATACCGGTACATGTATCAGTACATGATGTATCAGTACATGTACTGTATGTAACTTGAACTTTAGCATGAGCTGTTTGAGTCTTCCATGATTGTTTGTTAGCAAAATATCTAAAAAAATAAAAAAAAACCCTGTCCCTACTGATGTGGTGACAAAACCAAAGATGAATTAAAAATGTGTCAAACAGCTCCTCATAATTTCACTTTTTGAGGCAGGAAAAAAAAAATCTCCATTATGAATGTAGAGCCAGCTCTGTGGGATGGTATGAAGTGGGAGTGATTGAAGTGTTGAGAGATAAACCCACTCCTCTGAATGAGCCTCCTGTCTGCATGTTAAACCTCAGAGCTGATTGAGACGGCCTCATTCAGGTCAGGCCTCTCTGAGCTCAGTGCAGCACGTCTCGGCCCTGCATCTCAGACTCTGTAGGGCCTCATTAGTTCCTAATGTGATGCACGAACATGACGACTGAGAGTCTACGATGATTGGAGAGGAATACCTCTTCTTTCCATCCGTCTCTGACTGTCATCACTCAGATATTGACCACAAATCTCCAGGAGACATGCAGACTGTCAGAGACAGATGGCTAAACAATGTGTGCAAAAGCTGTATAGACAAAAAGATGAGTAGGATCAAAGAGAATCACATAAAAATATAAAAAATATTATAATGACTTTCACAAAGGCATTCCTTTTTTGTCCTCTACATTTCAGGCTTCAACTTTGCCACCTGCAGAGACACCTGCAGAGACACCTTCAGATACACCTTCAGAGACACCTGCAGAGACACAAGCAGATACACCTTCAGAGACACATGCAGATACACCTGCAGAGACACCTTCATAGACACCTACAGAGACACCTTCAGGGACACCT